CCTGGTTTGAAGCCTGTGTGGGATGAAGACTCTGTGCCTTCAGTGTTGTGGCAGGTTGAGGGCTTTTGACACTTTTATCTATGGACTGGGGATCTGGAGGGCATCCCAGGGATCAAGACAAGCCTCTGAAAGAGCACCACTGAAATTGGCTATCTTTGATTCCCCAGTTACCCAGTGAGGTTCCAAGGTTCTGGAGGAGGTTTGCCTAACATTGGCCTCCAGGACTTGGTTATTACTACAAGGGATGCTCAGAGATGATATACTCCTCTTGGAGACGTCCACACTTTTTGTCCTAAGTGTTGGAGATACTCTGGGGGAGTGATTTTAAGTCTGTCTGAATATGTTGCTGTATAATATCAAAATATTAAATGTGCCTTTAAGATGGAGATCTGGATGCTAGAAAGATGTCTCAGTAGCTAAGTGTACTTGATGTTCTTAACAATGAATGGAGCTCAGTTCCAAGTAGCTACATAGCTACACAGGTCATAAATGTCTATCACAACTACTCCAGGGAATTTGACAACCTATTCAGGACTCTGCATACTCATAGACATAAAAATAAAAACCAAAAGGCAATCTTACCAAAAGCAATCTACAGATTCAATGCAATGACCATCAAAATCCCAGAAAAATTCTTCACAGACCTCAAAAGAACGGTACTCAACTTCATATGGAAAAGCAAAAAACCTCAGGATAGCCATGACAATCTGTACAATAAAAGAACTTCTGGAGGCATCACAATCCTTGACTTCAAACTCCACTACAGAGCTACAGTACTGAAAACAGCCTGGTATTGGCATAAGAACAGACAGGAGGACCAATGGAACCAAATAGAAGATCCAGATATCAATCCACACATCTTTAAACACTTAGTCATTGATAAAGAAACAAAAAAAATATCAAATGGAAAAAAGCAAGCATATTTAACAAGTGGTGCTGGCATAACTGGATATCAACATGTAGAAGAATGAAAATAGACCTATATCTATTTTCATGTACAAAACTCAAGTCCAAATGGATTAAAGACCTCAATATATATCAGACCACACTGAAGCTGATAGAAGAGGACGTGGGAAGTAGTCTGCAATACATGGGCACAGGAGACCACTTCCTATGTATAACCCCAGTAGAAGAGATAATAAGAGCAACAATGAAAAAAATGGGACCTCCTGAAACTGAGACGCTTCTGTAAAGCAAAGGACATAGTCAACAAAACAAAACGACAGCCTACAAAATGGGAAAGGATCTTCATTAACCCCTCATCAGACAGAGGTCTGATCTCCAAAATATACAAAGAACTCAAGAAATTGATCATCAAAAGAACACATAGTCCAATAAAAAAATGGAGTAGAGACTTAAATAGAGAACTCTCAACAGAGGAATCTAAAATGGCTGAAAGATGCTTAAGGAAATATTCAATATCCTTAGTCATCAGAGAATACAAATCAAAACAACTCTGAGAGTCCATCTTACTCCTGTAAGAATGGCCAAGATAAAAAACACTGAAGCTGGAAAGGTTGTAGGGAAAAGGGAACACTTCTGCATTGCTGGTGAGAATGCAAGCTGATACAACCCCTTTGCATGCCAGTGTGGCGATTTCTAAGAAAAATAGGAAACAACCTTCCACAAGACCCAGTAATACCACTTTGGGTATATATTCAAAGGATGCTCAATTGTGCCACAAGGACATGTGCTCAACTATATGTTGATAGTATATATGTTGATATGTTCATAACAGCTCTGTTTGTCATAGCCAGAACCTGGAAACAACCTAAATGTCCCTTGACTGAAGAATGGATAAAGAAACTGTGGTACATTTACACGATGGAATACTACACAGAAAAAAAAATAACGACAGCTTGTATTTTGCAAATGGGTGGAACTAGAAAAAATTATTTTGATTAAGGTAACCCAGACATAGAAAGACAATTATCACATGTACTTACTCATAGATGGTTTTTAAACATAAAACAAAGAAAACCAGCCTACATATCACATTTCCAGGGAACTTAGACAACAATGAGTACACTAAGAGAGACTTACATAGATCTAATCTACATGGGAAGTAGAAAGTCTAAAAAGACAAGATCTCTTGAGTGACTTGGGAACATGGGTACTTCAGGGGAGGGTTACCCACCCATCATAGTCTGAGAACATCTACTTGCTAAGGACTCTGTTATGTGCATGGTCTGTTTGGCCTGGGATGTGGCCTCCAATATGTGGCCTCATCTCCTGTGTCTCTGTTCCACTCGCGGTGCCTCCAGAAACTCAAACCTGAAGAAGCCCCTGGCAAGGCAGACTTGTGGTTTCTGACCTGGATGGTACTACAGGCTTTAGGGACCTTGCTACTTCAAAGTGGAATGAGCTCTTCGACAATTATTTTTCTCTCTCCAACAAGTTTCCTTACTCCTGTAAAAAGTGTTACTGAATGTAGCTTGATCAGGTTTCTCCACTCTCATCTCTTAGCCTCAGCACTTCACCCTTTTCTCTTGATGTCATTCGTATATTCTTTGAGACAAGTAGTCCTGCTCCCCAACATATAGTTCTTAGGGTACTTCATGACCTGACCTATGTACTTGCCTTCCATCTTCATGCCCCCATTACTGTCTAGCTTTATATGAAGCTAACACAAGCTAAAGTAGTTTGGGAGGAGGGAGTCTCAGTTAAGAATTTGTCTCCACATGACTAGGCTTTAGGAAAGCTTGTAGAATATATCTTTTAAATTAGTGATTGATAGGGGAGAGCCCAGCCCATTGTGGGCGGTGATCCCTAGGCTGGTGATCCTGGGTCCTATAAGTGGGCTGTACAAGCCATGTGGAGAAAGTCAGTAAATAGCACTTCTTCATGCCTTTGGCATCAGTGCTGCCCCAGGTTCTTGCACTGACGATCACAGACTAAGTGGAGGGTGAGTGAATTCTGCCACCAAGATACTGGACTCATTAAGGAAATGGAGTGACCTGGCATAGACTCTTATATAGCTAGCTCCCTAATCCCAACATTCTCTGACAACAGTACAAGGTTTTGATATAGCAATGCCTTGGCCCGCGGGTAAATCAACAGAGACAGGGAAGGGGAGTGAGAATGGGATGGGACAAGAGACACAAGAGACGGAGACAAGACAGGATTCTGATCAAGTCTCATTTATTCAAGAGAATAATCCAGGTAAATATAGGGTAAGGGAAAGGAGGAAATTCTTCTTGTGTATATGGGTAACTAAACAACTTACTAGGCAACCTAACCAAGGTCTAATGGTCAGACGGAAAGTCCCTAACTGCAACATGCAGAAGTCAGAATGTTCAGAACACGGGAACAATGGAGAAATAACTCCCAGCAGAGTTTGTATTTGACAGATCAGAACAGCAGAAGCCAAAGCACAACAGGGTGGCGAAACTGATCCAGGGAGCAGTAAGTATCCCCCAGATCCTCCATTTTATTTTTATTAATTTTAAAATGCCAAAAGTCACTTGAGGGGGCTGTGCCTGTCTAAAGCTGCAGGGGAGGAGGGAACTCCTGTAGTCCCGTCCTTACCTGTCATAGGAAGACAGAACTGCTTTTGGTTCTGTTCCTGTCTTAAGTGGTAATTTACATGTTTAATATAGGTATACATCCTCCCATTGCCCGTCTTTGGCTATATGGCCCATCACACCAAGTTTAAAAACAATTATCTGGTTACCTCATGTGTGCATGAGCTCACCAGCTAAACATTGTCATATACATCACTGTCGGCTATTTCCAATTTATGATAATGAACCTGTATAGTTTACATTTTTCCTGTATAGTTTACATGTGAGTTGCCTCATACACCTGTCATTTTATAAATGCCATCAACTTAAAAGAAACGATCCTTTTTTTTTCCTAGCGAAAGGAAAATTAGTAAGCCAAGAAGGATGCTAACAAGGGAAGAAGATGGGGACATGTTGCTAATGCCTCCATGGCACTCATAAGGAGGGCAAAATAAAGCTTATAGTAGATCTTTGGGTGTTTGCCAAATCAATGAAAGAAATAAAAGAAAGCAAAAGTATCCAGAAGCAAAGCACTTCCCTAAACTATACTTGGTGAAGTGTGACGAACTGAGTTCAAAGGCCACTTCCTTATCCAGGGTACAGATTCTGACAGAATGTTTGAGAAATGGGAGGAGAAAGTTTGCTTTCATCTATGGTTGATTTGCCAAGCAACTGTTTCCCAGCTTCGTCTCATCTGTCCCAGGAGGAGCCTGCATTCTAAGCCAATTCTGTGTCCCCAGAACTGCCTCCTTTCCCATTTTTATTTGAACCTAAAAGATGTTTTAACCATAAAATATGTAATTTTTTTGCATTTGGCCATAATCAAGAATAAAAGAAGCATAAGAATGATTACAATAAGAATACCTCTGGAGGTATGGAGAATACTTTGTAAAAATCCCTTTGGGTCTAATCCTGTCAATTTGTTAGCAAAAATTTGTGCAATGGTGGAGGCATCTGAATCAGGAAATGATTTAGCAAAAGTATATCCTATGTTATCATGCAAGTGATCAATTAGAGATGGAGCAAAGACATTGCCCAAAGATAAGCTTGAATAACCTTCCATTCATGTAAAGAATCATTATAAGCCAAATCAGTAATGCAAAAAGCTGATCTAATGGGAGCTCACCAAGGCCAGCTGGACTGGGTCTGAAAAAGCATGGGATCAAACCAGACTCTCTGAACATGGCGGACAATGAGGGGCTGACTGAGAAGACAAGGACAATGGCACTGGGTTTTGATCCTACTTCATGTACTGGCTTTGTGGGAGCCTAGTCTGTTTGGTTGTGCACCATCCTGGACCTGGATGGAGTGGGGAGGACCTTGGACTTCCCACAGGGCAGGGAACCCTGACTGCTCTTTGGACTGGAGAGGGAGGGGGAGGGGAGTGGGGGGAGGATGAGGGAAATGGGAGGTAGGGAGGAGGCAGAAATTTTTTAATAATAAAAAAAATAATAATAAATATAAAAGTGGTTGAATTCCAATCACAATGCAAAGTAATCTGTTCTTGTAAAGATATTTATTTCCCAACCATCCCACAGTTTGCTTAAGTACATCAATCTCTGTCTGAAGTCGAGCATCTATTTGAGCTTGCTGTATCCAGAGTTCATGAGAATCTTTATGCCATTGCTCTACAAAATGTTTTGTCTGCAAGGATGTATGTAAAGCAATACCAGCCACAGAAGCAGTGGCAACAACAGCAATAAAGTTAAGAATTACAGCCATTACTATAACTAACATGTGCTTTGCTCTTTTCGATACCTTACTGAAGAATTCTACAACAATATGATCTAGAGGATTTTGAGCCCAAGAATGACCCAAGTTTATAGGCAGCCAAATATGTGTACACTGCTGTAATATCATAAGTGATTGCATATGAGGATTAAATTTAACAGAGGAATTAATAAATTAATACAATTGACAATCATAACAATTAATTCCAATTGTAAAATTAATTCTTCCAACTAAAAATACATATGGTAGTGGCACATAAGCAGTAACATTAATACTTTTAGACAAGGTAAATCTAAGTAGAAGCAGATACTGCTATTCTAATAAATGAGCCATTAAAAAGATGAACAGGTTTTAAGGCAGCTACAATCTTCCAAATATGCATCTGAATTGCAGTAGGGGCTGTGAGTAAGGCAATGCGATTATCACTGATTTCTCCATCTCCCCATGCCAGAAGACGGCTTCCAGTTATCGTTTCATTCTTGGCTCGATTTATTCTGACCCCAAGCTGGCGGCGGTGGTGAAGATCGATGTTGTCGAGGTCGCTTCCATGAATATAATTGTACCATGGCCAATATTGGAATATCTTCTTTGGGAGCCATAAGCGTCATTCACCCTGCAGAGACACAAGACCCTTTCCCTTCCACGACTAGTAATGCAGGCTGTCATTCAGCATCTATGGCAATTTTTCTGGAAGTTCAACATTTGGAGTATAAGCAAAAATATTTCTCTACTCTGGTTATGATATCCCCTTGGGGCAAATTTAAGAAACTTGATATGAATTAAGGTAAAGTTGCCCTACTTCTTCCAAAAATCTCACATTAATTCCATACCAAAATCTTCCTTTTTAAAATTTTTTAATTTGCTGTTGGGCTTTAAAGTATGATTCCTTTGCCAAAATGGAATTTTATATTGAACATGAAGGTGATTAGCATTAGTATGTAAATGTCCATGTTCCTCTTGAACAAAGGAAAAAGCTACCAATATTCCCCTCCAGCATTTCCAAATTTTCAAATGTCAGATCTCCAGACAAATTTGTATGTGATCATAGGTTATATTCTATTTAAAAATAATTTTTGAATATTCTCTTTAACTATTTTTAATTTTGTCTGAGCTTCTTTGATAAGAAACTGATTTGTTCATATTCAAAGCATTTTAAATCTTTTAAATTTTTATTTCCCTTTTGCAAATTATAACAAGTGGTGGCCATAGTTTCAGCAGCCAATTACAGTTTTCTACTTTTAAATAAAATATCTTTTCATAACTTCCTATAACTATTAATATTTCCTAAACCGATAGCATAACTCATTACAACCCTCATTAGTATTTTTATATGCCTGGCATTTTAAGGTTTCTTCTCCAATTACAATTTTTTTCTATTGTTTGTTTTATTCTAGCTAGGAATTCAATATAAGTCTTATTAGATTTTTGGATAACTTTAATATAAGAACCAAAATTTTCTCCTCTGGGGCAAAGACACCCCCATGCTTCCATGCTTATTTTTCTCACAGTTATTCATGCATTTCAACTGGGGGATTAGCCTGCTGATTAGGGTCATCATGAGCTCCACTTGCCTGTTAACATAAGAAAAAAAATTAATGCTGGCTGCATTAATTTGAGCCTTCTCAACACAAAATTTAAAAACTCATATTTGCCTTTGCAAATATTTAGACTACTTTTGTCTATTTTGTCTAACTTATCTTTTAGTATTATTTTCTCCTATCCCAGTAACATTGGCAATTACAAAATCCTAATGCCTCTAAAGCAAAAATTTATTAATTCTAGTTTTAAAAAGGCAGTTCTTGTGTATATGGGTAACTAAACAACTTACTAGGCAACAAGTTTTTCTTGTGTATATGGATAACTAAGCAGCTTACTAGGCAACCTAACCAAGGTCTAATGGTCAGACAGAAAGTCCCTAACTGCAACATGCAGGAAAGTCAGAATGTTCAGAACACAGAAACAATGGAGCAATAACTTCTTGCAGAGTTGGTATTTGACAGATCAGAACAGCAGAAGCCAAACACAACAGGGTGACGAAACTGATCCAGGGAGCAGTAAGTCTCCCACATAGCGATTCTTTATCGAGGTTAAGGTCTGTTATCAAGTGAACTGGAGGCCCAGACTGTCTGTCTCTGTCTCCATTTCTGTTTCCCATGTCCTCAATGTTTTTAATTTCATGGAGTCTCTGGATATGCAGTACTCACTAGGGCAATTTGGAGAAGTTTTTATCAGTAGTAGCGCCTCCTCCTTTGCTTCCTCTTCTTTTTTATGATGACAACATCTTCATCTGAAGATTTAGGTGGGGCTAGGAATAGCACATTGAGCACTAGGGACAGAGGAGGAACAGGTTCAAAACAGGGAAGGAGTTGTGACACAAAGCTCTGCGACATTGTTGGGTATTTCTTGCAGGGATCAAGTTAATCACACTAGGTGAGTGACTGCTACCACACATGCCACCTTCCATGCTGTCGAGATTGTTTGTCGAGATTGTTTTCGACTGGCTTCTGTTTATAAGTTTTGAATGTTCCCACTGGGTCTCCTCTCACATCAGAAGCAATGCTTTGCTTGCTAACTGTCTTGTGCTTAGCAACCCTGTTCTCACTCTCTTCAGCTCCCTTGTTTTCCTCAGCTAGGCAAGAACAACACCTTCACACAAGGAAAGGTGTTGTCCATATGACCTATTGAGACTCAACTATGTCTTACCAGACGTACTTTGCAATGGAGAAAGACCCTCCCCCTACTGCAGGGGTTTTGTAGAAGACATCTGGGGAATCTAGTACCCTTTGACTCATACTCTAGACCAGCAGAGGCAGGTGACAACTACACTCAACAGACAGCTCAGAGGACAGAACACATAGTCAGACCTGGCAAGGTGATCTGATGAAACAGGACATGAAAGTGAGGTTCAAACACAGAGATGATAACCCAGAGAGGACACAGGAGAGAAAATAAAAACGGCCATGCACTTTAAATCCTGGGAACTTATGCATACATTATGAACTCGGAATGTCTGAAAAGTGTCCCAGATCCATCCTCAAGTACTAGGTCAGAAGCTCCAAGATAGGTATCAATGTGTCCTTTGAGTCATTTACCCTAAATGTCAGTCTAGTGTGAGGAGCACAGGCTGGAAATGGGCTTACATACATCCTTCCCTCTATCCCCATACCCAATGACCTTACCCACATGACAGAGTAGACCTAAAATGCAATGCAGTTACATACCAGGATTTTCAGTGCTAGATTCCTTTCTGAGCTCCCACTGCTGTACTTCAAAAGCATCTGGAGAAAAGAAACAGAGTGGCTCACTCGCTTTTGCCTACAGAAGACACATCATAGTATATCACACCAGATCGGCATCAGCTTTCCACTGGTTCGCTGACATCTTAGGTTACAGAAGGTGCAGTGAGGCCAGCCTACTCACTCTGCCACCCACCCATACCGTGCCCTCTATATAAAAAACTAAATAGAAACATGGAGGTACTGCTACAACTCCCACAAAACAGTCAGAAGAGGATTGGCTTCTGCATTATTGGGCCCACACTACAAGAACTTTGTACTCAGGCCCATGTCATTGACTATAGAGAGTTGTGCTCCACTGACAGTTCCTTCTATCATAACTAACCAGTCAAAATTCACCATCAAAACCAGATGTCCACTTTTTTTCCCAGAACACATCAGAATACACACAATTTCCAAGGAGAGCTACTAATTACAGCCAAAGGCTAGGAGCTTTGACAGCAACAGAGGCAAGAAGGATGGGTGTTCTGGTAAAGACCATACTTTTTATTTTTAAGTTTATTTCATTTGTATTGCTGGCATATGAATGAATGTCTGTATACCACATGAATGCAGTGCCAGCCAAGACCAGAAGTGGGCATCAGATACCCTGGAACTGAGTTACAGATGGTTGTGAGTAGCTTTATGTGTGTTGAGACTCAAATCTGGTCCTCTAGTCAGTGTTCTTAATCAAAGAGCCTTCTTTCCCACACCCCCAGATCATCTTAATTGACAGGGGGTTTGGTGTGCTTTGCTCCTACTCCCTTTTTGAACCTTTATGCCTGGAAGGAAAAGTATACAAATCTCCATCTCCATGATAACTTTCCCATTCCTCAGCTAGCCAACCTGAATGCTTGATCCTCTCCTGTCGATTTCAACTGGGTATGCTGTTACTTACCAGGGAAACTTTCTTTACTATCAAGGTTCTGCTGATCTTCTATATCGGTATCTCCCACTTGGGCTACGTCTGCAAGAACATGAGGACAGAGTGTACCAGGGGAAGCCACACTGGATCACACAAAATTAACCCCAGTTCTACTTGATATTTTCCATGGAGTCTCTATCACAGAATTATTTCCTCTCATTTAACCTTCAACTCCCCTTTCCAACAAGAATTCTGAGTAAGGTTTCTCAGGAATGAAACACCAAGGTATTTCCTGAACAAGGGAGGGATTTCAGATACTTACAGCTTTCTACCATGGTGGAAACCATCTGCAATTATAGAAAAGAAAGTACTGTCAGAATCAGGCTTTTTTGTATACTCCACAATGGTCTGGCTTTCTCTGGATGGTTTAGAGAACAAAGGGCATATAGCTCCACTGGTGCTGCAAACGACCCCAGCAGAGATGGAGCAGGCCTTTCCTGTCCTGTATTTCCAATTCCACTAACATTGCAAGCACACAGTCCTTACTAGAATAGGGAATGTCATTTCTGCAGGAACTGCTTTTATGGTTCAATTTAATGGAAGTGATGATGTCAAGGACATCAAAGAGCTGGACACCCACTGGCAGGAAAACCACCTGAACTCCACAAAGGAAACTGTCTTTCAAAGAATAACAAACACAGAACCCAAACAGAGCTGTATTTCTATAGGAGACACACAAAGGTGCTCTTACGGTATGTCTGGATTCTGGAAGAGGTATGCCATCTGGAAAGTCTAGGAGAAAACAGAGTAACTGTGAAGATATCAGTAACTAATAATCATAGAACACTCAGGGAGCATTTTCAATGTGCACATGAGTGTATGGAGACAGCTTGGGGTGCTGCTGGGCCATCCTCTAGTCTCCAGTGTAGAAGGATGTTCCGGGGGGGGGGGGAGAACAAAATGAGACCTAGAATCCTTGATCCTCATTTAAACAATATAAAATAAATTCAGCGGATTCACACTTTGTGGTATCTACTTATAATCCCAGAATTCAGGAGGTAGAGGAGGGAGGATCAGGGTTCAAGGTCAGCTTCAACCATATAATGAGATAGAGGTCAGCCTGGGATAAATATGTTCCTGTTTCAGAGTAAAAAATATACTAAGACAGCATAATTTCTAACTGTATTTTCACATGAATGACTTCAAGCATGTCTGGAAACAGCATAATTTAAGTATGTGTAGTTGATAGGACATGGAGGTAACCTTCCATGGATGGGCAGCATCTCTGATCCACATAATAAACGCTCAGCCATTCTGATGATGCTCTCAGATTCTTTTAGATGAATTTAAGGCTCAACCATGGAAGCAAGAGCATTGGATTACCCATATGGATTCATGTCTTTAGTTTCTGCATACATTTTTGAGTCAGGGATTCTTCATTTTTTTTTCTAAATCAAGGATTATAACAACCGCCAGCACAAATATCATGAAGACCAGATGAGCTAATAAAATATAAAGTTCATTTAAAGTGTGTGTGGGAGTATGAACGATATCCCCCATAAACAATCACCCCATACAGAATCACATCCTCTTAGAATCACAAGATACTGAAGAATATGAAACACTAGCATCCTTTATGTACACAGCCTCACAGAAAATCTATGCAGAAACTTGGCTGTAAAAACACCTTTTTTTTTGACAAAACCTTTAGGTCTATTTTTCTATCACTTTAAAAAATATCAATTCAAATTACCACTCCTTCCCCTCCTCCTTCTCCCTCCACACACCCTCCCACCCCTCCCCCTCCAATCCTAAGAGAGGACAAAGCACCCTGCCCTCAGTGGAATACTGAAAGGCAGATTGCTCCAATACTGAGGGGACCTCAAAACATCTTTTAAAAAACCATGTTGGCCATTTGCAACAAGTTGGATGGCCTTTCAAAGAGAAGACAGCGACAGTAAGGGACACCATACCTAACTTAGCATTTACATTTTTGCTCACCAAAAAGTGAAATAATACTCACAACTTTGATAGTCTTCCCAGGCTCCCTGCAATTACAAAAACAAAGACATTATAATATCAACATCATGTGATATATAGGCTCATGTCTTTAATTTTCTGCCTCAGTATTGAAAAGGCATGGTGAATTACGGGGCTAGCAAGAAATCTGGCACTAGAGAAAATCCCAGGAGTCCACAAAGATGACCCCAGCTAAGATTCTAAGCAATAGAGGAGAGGGTGCCTGAACTGGCCTTGCTGTAGTCAGATAAATGTCACCATAGAACCTTCATCCAGCAACTGATGGAAACAGAGGCAAAGACCTGCAGCAGAGCACTGGGCTGAGCTCCCAAAGTCCAGTTGAAGAGTGGGAGGAGCAATAATATGAGCAAAGAGGTGAAGACTATGATGGGGACGCCCACTGGAACAGTCTACCTAAGCTAATGGGCGCTCACCAACTCCAGCCAGACAGGGAAGGAACCAGCACAGGACCAAACTAGTCCTTCTGAATGTGGGTGACAGCTGTATGGCTGGGGCAGACTGCAGGGCCACTGGCAGTGGCCCAGGATTTATCCCTACTCTTGTCCTGGCTTTTTGAGAACCCATTCTCTCTGGATGGATTCCTTGCTCAACCTAGATATAGTAGGGAGGGCCTTGGTTCTTCTCAAAGCAATGTGCCTTACCCTCTCTGAGGAATAGATGGGGAGTGGAGCAGAAGGGAAGGTGGAGGGAATGAGAGCAGGGGAGGGAGTGGGAACTGGGATTGGTATGTAAAATGAAAAAAGATAGTTCATTTTCTTTTTAGAAAAATAAATTAAATTAAATTATAAAAGAAAGAAAAAAAAAGGCTGGCGATCACTGCCAACATTGATGACTGGCAAAATAAAGATAAGATTTATCTGTGACAAACCCGTGATCATTTTCTGAATGATGTATTTCTAACTCCCTTTCAGTCACCAGCCACAAAATAGTAAACCCAAGGAAGAAGCATTGTCTCCCAGAGGGACAGGTAATAGCATCTATTCTGTACTCTGACTGTGGCATTCACAAATGCTTTTTCTCATAAGGTGTCTACTGGCAAGGGACTGCTCTACTATTCCAGAAAACAGAACATAGTATGTATAACACATACTATCATATTTTAATAGCCAAAATAAAATGAAATAGAAAACTCAGAACATAAATAAATAAATGAAATGAAATAGAAAACAGCAACATTTCTATTTCAGTCATAGAAAGGTCACCTTACCTCATTATAATGGTCAAATTCTTCCTCTCTAAAAAAAATCTGTTTAATATCCGGGACATTGCTCAAGCCTAGGAAGACAGAGTGACTGTTAATCACTTGTGCTGTGGACCATGTACTCCTTAGATAACACTGTTTAGTTTACACAGCAGGCTTATATGTATGGCTGTGCTCTAAAGACTAGACTGAGTGGCTTTTGGAGCATCCTCATTGGAAGCACTGAGTCAACAAGGAGCAGGGAAAAAATGGAAAACGGAACATTGGCACTGTGCTGATGGAAACAGAAGACAATAGGATAGGCTTCCAATGGTGCAAGTCTCCCATTACTATCAGTCATTTGAAGACCAGAGAGACAGTCTTCGCAAACCAAGAAAAATGTGAATTTTAATTTATGCTAAGTGGCATGTAGTACACACTCTCAAGGATAATCTCAAAGGGACCAGATAATCCAGGGTACCCGAATGAATATGGTTTATGGAGTGTGATTGGTTAACATAAGAAAATAAAGAAAAATAATAATGTCTCCCCTCTGCGGCACATCAGGATACTTCAGAATGCTGGAAACGAAGCAAGGCTCACAGCAATCCAGGAGCTGATTCAAAGAACTATGTAGCATTTTAACCTCTAGGGGCATCATGCTCAACTCCCTAGTTTGGTGCATGAACTCCAAAGGGGCAGTCACATACTGGGGACAGAAAAACCTTAAATGCTGTTGTGATGGAGTAGGACTGGAGTGGGGTTCCTGCACAGCTTCTCTCTGGAGTACATACTATTTTTAGAATAACTAATAGAGCTATGTAATTTCTGTTCTTGGAGTAGAAAAGCATATTCCCAAGTCATCTGCTGAAAGCACTGAAGCACTGATAGACCATGTGTTTTCTGGTGGTTTCTTGTGGTAATAGGCATATGTTGGGGCAAACATTCCATAAAACGAAATCACAATAAATTATCAATCATGGAGATGATTTACATACTTCCTACATTCTTTTGGTAATCTAAGATCCACACTCATGGAGCACAGTGTACACACACACATGGTTCTGAGTACAACCAAGGCATGAGGCTTTATCTCTCTTCCCACTGACATTGAAGCTCTGTTCATACAGGAAGGTAAAACTAAGAATTCTATATTCTCAAGTGTATGGAAGCTACCTCCCACAGACCAATAGAATCTCATGACAAAGATTAGGATACTGGTTGGTTTTATGTAATTAAAACTCATAATAATTAATTCACTATTACACAAAACCTCCTGGTCTGGAAACACATGAGAAAGATAATAATCATCACAAACAATTCATTCACAAAGTCACGAAAGAAACTAAAGATTTAACACACACAGGGGCAATAATCAATTTCAAGGTGGACAAAACCATTCATTTTATAGCAATGTCTGATAAATAAAAAAAACATGAGGTATATTTGAAACCATGAAATATGGCCACATGTAGAAATATGCTACTAAAACTCAAAGTTTTTAACTGGTAGCTTTAAAGGGACATTATCATAATATCCATCCTGTCTTAGGATAAAACTTGAGATTTAGGTACTAGTTTGGAGAACCTGTAGAGTCCAGGAGACTAGAAAGGGAACATTAATTGGTAGGGAGGAGTAAGAAAAGTATTAAGGGCGAGCGAGGTAGAACACAGGTGATTACAAAGGGGGAAAGAGGACTAATGGGAGGGAGGTCTGAGTGGGGAAAGGGCTAGGAAGAGGGGAAGCACTAGGGATGTTTGAAAAGGCTAAATGGAAATTATAAGATTAAATATATACACATATTTTCATACAAAAGTGTATACTTGGAATTACTCCATACAGGGAATTATCCCAGAAGCCATGTCTTGCCATATAAACACTTGAGTGCTAGGGCCTGGAAAGATGGCTCAGAGGTAAAGAACACTTGTTGCTTTTACAGAGGACCTGGTTTTGATTCCCAGAATCCACATGGTGGCTCATCATCATCTGTAACTTTAGTTCCAGAGAATCTGACATGTCCTCTGACCTCTAAGAGCACCAGGTACTCATGTGGTGTACTAACATAAATACACGTAGGCAAAACATTCATATACATAAGACAAAATAAGGCTAAATTATTTTTGAAAAGCCCAGTGTCTGAGTACATATGTGGCATGTGGTTCATTCATGCCTTTGTGTGAACACCTGCATCTGTTCATTTTCATGGGGGCTACAACAGGGTATCCACTACCGTGCTGTGTAGTATTCTTTGCCTGCCTTCTTCCCTTCAGCCAGGATCTCTCACTGAAGCTAAAGCTAGGCTAGCAAACATCACATAACAGCTGTACTCTTGTCTCTATGGCAGACATTGCTTTGGTTACAGGTACACACACATATTCCTGCTCTTTTATGTGCGTCCTATAGATTCAGATGCAAGTCTCACTGCTTGCACTCCAAGCATTTGTCTATCAAGACATTATCTACATACTGCACAATGATGCCATATTTTTCTTGTGCACTACATATGCTGGGTGTGTGTAAATAAGGAAATATTTTGATTTTTTGATATTTTGTATATTGTTGAAGAAGTGAGCCACTTGTTCATCCCGACCACCCAGCTATCTTAGACCTGAAATAATCACACAGAAACTGTATTACTTAAATCACTGTTTGGCCCATTAGCTCTAAATTCTTATTGGCTAGCTCCTACATCTTAATTTAATCTATCCCCATTAATCTGTGCATCACTACGAGGTCATGGCCTACCAGCAAAGTTTTAGCACATCTATTTCATGGCATCTCTCTGACTCCACCCTTCCTTCTCCCAGCATTCAGTCTAGCTTTCCCCACCTACCTAACTTCTGCCCTGCTATAGGTCCAAAGCAGTTTCTTTATTCATTAATGGTGATCACAGCACATAGAGGGGACTCCCACATCATCTCATACATTTTATAGAATTATAAAAATGAATCATCACTTATTTATTTATTTTATAAATGTTTCTAAACACTATAATATTTCTAGGACACACAATAGAGTTTTGAGGGTTTTTTGGATTTTTTTTTGTTTTTCTTTATTTTCTGCTTTTGATTTTGAGGCAGGTGCCAGGGAAATCCAAGATGCCATGTGCTGCTCTGCACAGAGATCAGGGTCGAATGACACTCAGGAAACAGGAGAAAGACAAGGAAAAGATATGGGTAAGAGCTGTTAATGAGAAGGAAGAATGCAGAGTGTCAGAGTGAAGGTAGAATCCTGGGTCTCCATGAAGTACACTGCTTAGAAGCCCCTGAGTTTTCAGTGAAGACAAAAGACATAAAACTTACAAGCTATGGTCTATAAAAAGTGGTCCAAAGCCAGCAGGACAATGAAAATGCAGGAGTAGATATATTTGTGATGAGCTAAGGCCTTGCACCTACTGGACACTTGGAGGAAATGGACTTCTTATCCCAAGAGTGAAACATACACGTATGCTCAGCATAGAGGAGAGCTACAGACAATGTCCAGAAGGTCCCAGGGGAAATCATGTTCCCAAGCTCTACTATATGGGTAGGAGTTCATGGGAACTCCCAAGCCCTCTGATCTTATAGATTGAACCCAGCATGCATTAAAGGCCCAAAGCTGGTTCTTCCTCACCCACTAGGCCAGTGGCTACAAGACATATGCAGCTCTCTAATCTCCATTGACTCAGTCATCTTGCACACCAACCAGATAGTTCAAATGAGCTAAACTTTTATGTTTGACACTTACTTCCCAAGACCAAGGTCAGACTAAAAAGCCTTTCTTTAGCTATGTCATCCTCTGGGTATCCTTTAAAACAGGTCTAAGCATTGAAGAGAGAACCATGAAGATGTAATTCAAGCTCTAGAGGAAGAGGATCAGTTTCTCCTGCATCACCGAGCCAACACTATGAAACCTTCATATCCAGGCTCATATGTATACATACATGTGAGAGAATTGACCTAAGCAGAGAGGTGGGCTCTACCGCAGGTTATCACATGACCATTAACAAAGGCCACTGTGATGATTTGTCTCAATCATTAATTTAATGAGATCCAGATCCTCAGGGCACATCCGTGGGGCATTTCATTGACTAGGAGAGCTGAGATGGGATGACCCACCAACTCTGGGGAGTCATCATCCCCTTGACTGGGATCCTGGACAGTAAAAATAGAGAAAGTGAGCTGTGCAATACCATTAACTTTTCACTGCTTTCTGATTTTGGTTACAATGTGTGATGCCCTGCACTCATGAACTAAATTCTCAAGCTACAAGGTAAAATAAACCTTCTCAAAGAATTTTGGATAAGAGAGTAGAAAAATAATTTAGGCACCATTGCCATGGAGAGGTGCTGCTTTTCCTTATGCCCCTGAAAGAGGAAAAGCACAGAAACCTCCCATTTTCCTTGTAATTACAGATCTTTTTCCCACTGTCTCACATTCCCAAGCACAGGGCATGACAAGATCACTGCTGGGACCCTTCCCATCGAAGTTCAAGAAAGGCTGTTATGTGATTCAAATTTCATCTGTCCTTTGGGGACTCTTCAGATCTAGTCCATCTGCATCACCCACATGTCGGTAAGTGATAGAGTGTGATGCACCTGTTCGTGCCCACATCAGGTGAAGCCACACTAACTTATATATGTGTCTCAGCTTTCTTCTAATTCATGTATTCAGTGAGAGCCACAGTGACTTTAAATACATTTTTAAAATTCTACGGTTGTATTTCTATTGGTGAAATAGATACATTAACATTTCTCACATATTAAAAGTTGTGCTAAGTCTGTTCAAAGTTTTACATATGGTACAGGGGATAACTGATTACTACATATAATGGAAGCAAAGCTTCCATTATGTGTTGTACCTTTTCTTTGTGCTTCTGGAGTTCTTACAAAAGTATTCTCTACAACTGGAGGTTCCTGCACATTCCGAGAAGTGACAGGTGTCTTCTTCCAAAATCTTTTGAATAGCGAAGAAACTGAGAATGTATTCACAACAGGGAGTCTTGTTAGCTTTATAGCAGGAAAACAGAAAACTAACCATAGCTACGTGTTTGTACATATGATCTAATTTTCTCTTTCCAACTAGTCATCAGAGTCAGAATGTTGTTTCAGGATGTTTTGTGATTAAGCAGTACACAGACACTATAGGTAATGTCTACATTTATGTGGCCGTGGCAATCCATAAAGAGCAGCAAGACTGAACACCTTATAGGGGGGTGTGGTTCCTGATGGAAGCCACATCCTTCTGAGAACTGCATGAATACACGGTTGTTCATATAATTCCTCTTTTTTCCATGTTTTTCTCCAAACACTGGAAGTTTCAGAAGGACTTCCCATGAGACTTTCTAGTCTAAAAGAGAACTACAAAGGGTAAGCCATAAGGAAAGGCACATGTACAGGAGAAATGCTCTAATGATGTTTGTTAAATACCAGACGAGCTAGAGTGTAATGACTGAATTCAGAGCAGCTCATTGGATCCAGGATGGGGAGCATGGTTGCTGTTGATTTTAATTCTTTATTTACCCATGGCACTTAACCGCTCATGGAGAACATATGGCATTGCCTTAGATGAGCTGAGAAGTAAAGAACTATGTGCATCCCTTCCTTTTCACCTTTAGGCGTCATATTACTTACAGTCCTGGCACTGTGACAGAAGCAGCCTGAGAAAGATCTTCTCTATCTTTCAATCCCTGACTCAAAATTCCAAAAGAAGTAAAGGGTACTAGCTTAGTACAAATATGTGACCTTTCTCCTGCATCTTCAACCTGTCACATCTCCTTTAGTGACTAATTTTGATTGCCAGGAAACCACACTCAGAGATTATAGATAATTGCATATTCCTTAGAAATACTCAGACTCTAAATCATTCTAAACCACATTATCGCATGATGGTTTGACAAAAAGGAAACTTCCCTTAAACTGACCAAACCTTGATGTCCTTGATTTGACCATGTAAGAAAAGCAGTCTGGCATTTGGGTGATCACATGGCTTTCTGGATGACAATCATCCTTAGCCACTATATAGACAACTGAGATAAAGTGCACATAGAAGGGCAGAGTCTATATTAGCACTACATGCACACCATATCTGCTCTGCTCTGATCCATCAAAGTCCAGTTTCTACACACTGTTCTTCATCCACAGGTCCTACAGGGCAACTGAGTCAAGTTCACTCCCTGCATATTCTATTTTAACTACTGGAAATACCTTAAATGGAAGATTAGGCTGAAAACCTCTATGTATAAAAGGATGAGTCTGAATTTATGATTCTCCTCACTCCAGCTCTGAACAATTAGGTTTACAGAAGTGTGCCAACATGGACACACATAATACAGTTGTTTGGATCAAATCCAGGGCTTTGTACATGCAAAGAACACACTAAAAAGTGCTTCCAGAGATCTATATCTAGAAAGACTGATGACCTAGCTCTATACTTTGGGCTATAATTCTCCAGAGAGCTGCACAAAGAAACAAATATCACATATCTGTATGGTGAGATTTGAACACTTTTTTTTGAGGGTGAAATGTGTATCTTGCTTTTTGAATTGACAACTTTGTCACTGGAAAGTGAATTGTGTAATAGGAATAACTGTCTTGGTGAAAAGTCTATTTAGACACTGCCTGGTGCACAAAATGCCAAAATAACTAAAGTCATCAGAGCCGAATGCAAACATATGGGTATGACTGGTTACTTAGGGCATTTCATTCTCCCCCCTTGAACTCCTAATTTTCACTTCTAATAAGAGTCTTATATCATCACATTGGTGTACCATAGAAAAAGACAAACAGCATTTAGATAATTCTTATCTAAAATGTGTCTTGAGAAAGAGATTCTATAATACATACTCCAGCTGAACTTTTTACACTTGACCTGTAATTGAAAGGAAAGAAAATACTATGAGGTTCAGGTCATAGAGTCTGTTTACACAGCACTTTGGTTCACTGTGACACAGCATGGTATAAAGCAGGATAGGAAAAAAGGCATAAGAAGACTGTATTAATATAATATCTGGTGATGTCACAGAAAACCAGGGTTATGTACTTTGTAACAAAAACTAATACATTGCACACTTATGCTCACTCAAATAGTGAGCCGAACACTCTTCTTTTTGGCCTTCACTGAGGGTTCCCTAGCTACATCACAACATGACAGATCAACTACCAACCTGCTTTGGGAGATTAATTCATTCTATGAGGGGCCTCTGATTATTTTTCATGACTATACATATTTTAAATGGATTATACCCTCGATATTCAAATATTGGATGCCTGAAGCTTCCCACCACATAGACATTTAGGGAACAAGTCAAATCCCATCTAGACAACAGGCTGGAGAAACAAATAGGAGAGGACCCTTAAGGAGAAATATTCATTTTTATAGATAATATGCCTGTTAACTTCTGAATAAATATTACACACATTTGTTCAGAGAGGAACCCTTTTTCTCCAGAAGAAAAGTCCCCCACACAGAGACTATGATAGTAGATGTCCGAAGATTTGTCTGGACCGGGCAGACACAATTTCACTTTCTCCCCTTCCCAAGCTAACTCATTAATATCCATGATGCCCTGGTCAATTTTGTTGTTTAATTGGGTATCCACTGAAACATGAGATCACTAAAGTAACCTTTCTATCTCAGAGAAAAGAAAAGTTGTCTTACTTTCACCATGGTTCCTGGGCCATCTGGTGTAACAGTGGTGTCAGCACGGTCAGGTAACTCTAGGGGTACAGAAAGTGACTGTCAGCTCATGGTACTGCTTACTACTTATGCAACAACATTCCTGCTTGATGTGGGTAAAGGTGCATGAACGTAGTACATGTGACCAGACCTAATGAACAGGATGGTTAGGCAGCTTCTGAACTGCCTTCCTTTCAAAGGAAATTAAAGAAGAGAAAGACATAAAGAGATACTGGTAACAACTGCTGCATTTCCAAATAGTTGAACCTAAAGCAACAGAAAGAAATATATCTGATTGATGATTCAATATACATCTTCACACGTATTCTCTTTGGAGGGTTCACTGGTGTACCTCAATTTGCATGTGGAGGTCAGAGAACAGATTGTGCGATCCCAAACTGTACATGTACAAGTTAACCCCTAAATTAAGACTAAGGGAGCATTTTCATAGAGGAGTAGAAAGACTGTAAGAACCAGAGGGACAGGACATATGCTGCTAGTATCTTCTAGATGTGGCAGGGTTGATATAGCCCATGAAATCTCAATACAGTTTCCCAATTAGGGCTTGCATCATGACAGCCCCGATATGCCACCCTAGACCAAGAGCTATAGGCAATCAGTGGTTGTGAAGAGAGGGAGAATCAATTTTCTCCCAGGGTGAGCTCCCTCATAAGTTATCTAACCCCAAATTAACAGCACTAAGCACACAAGAACATACATAGGTATACATAAGAGCAACATTAAACGGGATCATCTGCTTATGTAACTGTAACAGTTACCATAAAAGAAATCATATATTTGAAAGGTGGGCATGGAATGAGTTGGACTGGGGAGAGGATATGAAAGAATGATATAAACACAGTAGTCACATAAAATTCTCAAAGAATTAAAAGTGTAAATTAAAACAACCCAGTTCTTTCACTTTTATTTTCCTTCAATCAAGGTCTCTCATTGAAGCTAGACCCAGACTGACAGCCATCAAGACTCAGAACACTCTTTTCTCTGCCCCGGATATGCTGGGGTTATGGGTATGTACAGAACTACCTGGCTTTTTATGTGCACTGGAGACTCAAAACAGGGTATTTATGTGTATATACAAGTCTTATCATCCTCTGAGCCATCTGTACACCTTGTGTTTAACTTTGCCTCTGTTTTTTACAACTTTTCAAACTTTTCTAATTTCTTAAAGAATTAAAGAAAGATACAATTTTGGTAAATTGTAATAATTTCATCATTTTTGGTGTATATTTTACGGAAGAACATTGCAAAACAGATAATCTACATGTGTTTTTATGTGTTTATGAACATACAATTTTCTGGTCTTCATATCAATTCTGCTTTGTGAAGTATATGTCTGTAAGCCTTTTAACTCATCAAAATTCCTAAATAATGATTATAAGTTGTGCAGTTTTGGAAAGGTAAAGGCCAAGGACACAAGACTTCTCTTAGAGAAGGTACAAAGGGTAGACAGTTCTTAGAAGGTGATGCCTTTCGATGCATAAAGAAGGCCTGTGAACATGAGGCTGCCTCTAGTATATAGATGCAGATAAGGTCAAGACAGGGTCACTGTAGGGAACAAATATTACATTAATTGGTGTCACAGCTTCAGGTTTTTGGACCAAATTGATGATCATATGTCAGTGATTTCACTGCTCTTTGTCACTCTAAGATTTCGACAAATTTGTTCTGATTTGTGTGTGTGTCTGTGTCTATGTGCGTGCAACTTTATGTGCTTTTAATGGGGAACCTCAGCCAATCACATTCTGCTTAGGGTGTGTCCCCCTGGGGCCACACAAACAAATAAAAGATCGAAGTGCATTTGCCACCTCCTCTTTGCCCACTGCATTCTAGAATCGCTGGAACCTTGGTTTTGTAAGTTTTTCTTTCTGCTGTTTATTAAAGATATATCTTTTATATTAAGCTAGTCTGGTTAATTTTTAACTACCGATCGACCTCGCCCCTTCATGCTTTCACTTAGCTGGGTTTTGTTTTGTTTTGTTTTGTTTTTTAACTGCGTCTTGTATCATTCTGCTTATGTGACTGCTCCTGGCTGCCTTTGGTTAACTCCTCCATCTTTTACATGTTCAAGTGTCTTAGCTGTTCACGACAAGTCTTTCACCTCTGCCCATCAGGGAAAGGAATGAGCCAGATGACCCACAAAAATCCTACTGTCATTCTGGGAAGGCAGTCCATGAGAAGTGTTCTGTTCTGTCCTCTTCTCTCCTAATGGTCTTGTGATTCTGATGAGTTTAGCAAGAGAAAGAGAGAAAATTATGGAATATAAAATATTCCTCTTTAGAGGCCATCATAGAGTTCCGATGAACTCTCTTTAATAGAGCAGAAACTGGTAATGCAATCAAAACAGGGAGTCATTTCAGTCTCGTGGCAGAAAAACAGAGGAAACTGACAATGGTGAGTGTTTGTACATTTGATAAGATTGCTTGTTTCCAGGGATAGTGAGACTGTGCTTCAGGAGGATCACTGAATGCAATGAATAATCAGGCAAGCATTTGCATGGACATGACTGGTAAAGACTAAATTTATGTGACAATACAGAAGAAAGAGTCACATGACTGAACATATTGTGTTAGTGTGGTGCCTTCTTAGAGCCACATTGGCACAATGACACTCGTGCAATGCCTCCATTCACCAGTTGCTTAGTAGGACACTAAGAAATTCTTAAGGACTACCCATGAGACTCACTAGGCTAAATCAGATCTTTGTAATGTATACTGTAGGGAAGAGCACCGCTATTGCACAAGTGCCCTGTGATGTCTGTGAGATGCCAGGAGACCTCAGCTACACAGGAGTAGCTCAATTCAGAGCAAATGTTGCATTTACTCCAGAACACCAGGAATGACTGTTTACTTTTCATTCTTGGACTACCCTGTATATAATACATCTCAGGGACAATGTGTGATATTGCCTAATGGGGCAGTAAGAAGCTGTGAAAACTTGTGACTTTTCACACAAGGGAACAGTAACAGCTGCGTTCCTGTGTCAGTGACCACCCACTGATACAAACAGCTGAAGGGAGCCATGCTCTACCCTGTCACCCCTGCCTCAAAGTGGGAGTTTCCTCCAAAAGAAGCTGCAGCATTCCTGGCTTAGTAAATAGAGCCTCCACTGTCACCTTCAACCTGCCACCTGCCTCTCAGGGATTCAATCTGGAGATCAGGGAACAAAACTGGGAGGGTACCAATGCTGGCAGATGTCCCATGATGACTCAGACTCCAATCAATCTAAACCAAGTTGTCAGTAAAGGTTGGGTATAGCATGGTGGCCCAGAAATATAAGCCTGTTCCACCTTGACTAATGATCAGAGAGTTTGAGCTTATTTTTGCTCTTTCAAATTGTTGATAACAGGTGTGGCCACAAACAAGCAATCCTGACCTAGAGTGTGGTTAATTAGTATTTTGAGTATAGAAATGGACCCCCTCCATCTTTCTATTCCTGCTCCTTCAAAGGAGATTGGCAGGAGGTTCCAGGTAGTAGCTGCCTGCAGGATACTTGGTCTATTCTTTATATCATCTTAATGAAGTCTGTTGCCTTCCTCCTTCCCTTTTGGAGTGAAGTAAACAGGCATGTGGAAAATAAATGCTGGGCAGTTAAGTAATCACTGAATGTCCCTGCCAATGACGTTCTGTGTTTCTGCCTATTATTTCTCTTACATCTCTGTGCCTTTTGTTTAATTTTAATTCTCATGCTTCTACCATGGAACATGTGGATTTCATCAAGACTGGATTTTGACAGACAGTTGGGAGAAAAGGAAATTCTTTTAATCTGGTTAAACTTGGATAAGCCCGCAACAGGAAGAGACTGGAAAAGCAGCATAGTGTCATTGTGGGTAACAAAACCCCTGAAACTGTGTGGACAGCTGAACTGAGTCTAGCTAAGAAAATGGTAGCCTACACTAGCGCTACCATCTGTCTCTCTGTCTCTCTGTCTCTCTGTCTCTCTCTCTCTCTCTCTCTCTCTCTCTCTCTCTCTGCAAGATGCAGCTGTTCACCCATTCCTCATGAAAATTATTTTTCTACAAAATCTTCTTCCATACACAGACCCAATAGGGGCAACTGTAAAGTCCTACTCCCCATCTTTTGTTTGTTTCTTTTTCCCTTTTTCAGAGAAAAGGTCTCTAGTTCACCGTGGTCTGAATATAACTATGTAGAAATGGATGATTTTGAACTTAGAATTCTCTTGTCAGCACCTTTGAAGGAGGTTTATAGAGCTATACAGCCACAGCACATCTTTTACATAATGGTGGAGCAAACCCAAGGCCTTAGAAATGGTAGTTATGTAATGAACCAGTTGAACCACATGCTTTTATGTTGCTTTTTGCGGGGAGGGGTTGTGTGTTTGTTGTGCCTTTTCACTGATTATATATTGATTTTCTTTTTTAATTTGCCTGTTTCTTTTCTAAAGAGGGAGATAAAGCAGGTGGATGGGTGGTGAGGTGGGAAGAATCTTGGAGGAAGTGCAGCAGGGGAAACCAAGAACAGAATATATTGTATAAGTTTTCAAGAAAAAAAGAAAATATTCAAAAACAAGCCTTGAAGAAAGAGTAATATTCTGGGAAATACTGCCTTCAAATGTCAAAGTACACTTCCACTGGTCATTGCTTACCACTGTGCCACTGAAAGAGGAAACTCACACATCCCTCCCACTTTCCTTGTCCTTACTGATATCTTTCCCACCCCCTTCTCCTCCAAACAAAGTGTGTAACATGGAAACTTCTGGGACCCTTGATCATTGGATCAAACCAGGAATGCTGTCATATAATTTGAATTTCACCCTCAGTCATGAGACACTGGACATTTATCAGGTCTGTGAGAAACATCAGATCTAATCCACCTGCATCACCCATGGTGAGAGAAAGTATTAGAGAGTTGGTTTACACATTCCTATCTGTACCAGGTAAAACCATATGGATTTATATGATTAGTCTCAGCTTGGTTCATGCTATTGAAAGAGAACCCAAGGTGATATTAAATATTTTTAAATTTTGTGGTTGAACTTACATTGAAGACTTTGATATATTAGTATTATCCTACATAGGAGAAATAGTCTAAGCTTCTCAAACCACTATACACAATTGGACAGAGTTATGGAATTCCCACAGTACCTTCCATTTTCATTTGCGCCATTTCTGCAGAATGAGCGTTCGCATCCTGATTAGCAGTAGCTTGTTTATCATAAAATTCTCTTAAGACTTCAGGAACTGGGAATTTATAACAGGGAGTCATGTTAGTCTCATGACAAAAAAATAGAGAAAACTAACAATTGTGTGTGTATACATTGATCTGATTACTTGTCTTTAGGTACAGTCATCAGAGTAAGAATGGAGCTTCAGAAGGTTCACTGAATGCAGTTTATAATCAGGTAAGCATTACATGGACAGTGTAGGCAAAGTTTACATTTATGTAAATGTGATAACAGAGAATACTGGAAAGAGCCGTGTACACCAAAAGCCTAAGTGAGAAACACCCACCCCATTTCTTCATTCAGTGTCTCTCTCTCTCTCATTCTCAGAATCGCTGACCTGATTAGAAGCATTTGGCTTTTCTACCCTTCATGCTTGTGAATGTCTGTAGGCAGATGAAGAACAATGCCTGGGCCCTCTGTGGTCCCAGGCATGATCTTGATCTCTGCAGTTTTGACCTATTGAAGGTAGATGCTGGGATGCTGGAACTTAGGGATTACCAAGTTCTGGGGCTACAAAGTGTCTCTTGGTTGGCATGGAGAGCCTCATCACTTACCTCTGTGCCCTGATTTATTCTTTAGAGTAGCACACAAACAATAAATGTGCCATATGTGATGGGCTTTGAACACATATACTGTAGGTAAAGTATGTATCCTAATTTGTTAATTCATCGGTTTGTCACTGGAGGTTTGACTTGGTAATTTGGATAGCTATCTTGGGGAAAAACATATTTAGACAGAGCCTGGTACACAACATTCTAAACAAGCTAAAGAGATCATAACTGAATCCAGTGATGGTAGACAACCCCAGTTTGTTAGTTTTGTTTTGTTTTTAAGTTGGGGTACTATTTTTTTAAAAAAAAAAACAACAACAAAAATCTAAGTTCTTTCCTATTGGGGGCTTATATCACAGTGGTGCATTAGACACAAGGATACCTAGTATTTATACATTTCTAAAATGTCTCTTAAGAAGAAAATTTCATAATACATACTGCATCTGAGTTTTCTACACCCCACCTGAAATTTAAAAGAAAGAAAACAGTATGAGACACAGGTCATGCTGAATTCTGTTTTCAGGGATCTTTGGAACACATGTCAGCATGGTATGATGCCAATCAAAAATGAGCAAGAGTCCTATGTATTCATATGTTATGTGACAATGTCATAGAAGAACTGGTACTCTATAATTTGTGACAATTGCCACTTTTGCCAAAAAGAAAGAAAGACAATCTGTTTCGTCACTGCTGAATGTTTTCTAAGCCACACTATATCTTTATAACCTGACTGTGAGATAATTCCTCCTACAATCAGGCCTCAAATATTTGCACTAATCCTCATGCCTAATAAAATTTCATATCTACTACAACATAAGGGGCTAAAGTAACTTTTTATATTAGAGAAAAAAAAGGCCATCTTACCTTCACCATTGGTGAAAGTGCAGTGTCAGCATTTTTATGTACCACTGAAAGGAAGGAAAGTAATTTGTCAACACATTGTCATTACTCTAGGAATCTTTGTTTGGTATGTATAGAAAATTATGTAGCTAGCATGTGTGACTTGCTCTTAATTTTTTTTCCAATCCTATCCTCCTCTGTTTCTGTTCAGAAAGAGGAAGGCCTCTCAAGGGTGTCAACAAAACATGGAATATAAAGTTTTAGATAAGACTAAGCTACTTTCCTTATATTTAGGCTGGGCAAGGCAATCCAGAATGAAGAATTGGGTCTTAAGAGCCAGCCAAAGTGTTTGCTTTCTGCTCATTCCAGAACTGAGGATTATATTTCTGGAAAACCAATTATGGAAAAGATAAGAATTGAGGAGAAAGGAGGAACACAACTTTTGGTTTTCTAGATGATGGGAATCTAAATCAATGTGGAAGAATCTCTTTTATTGTGTGAGGAGTAAAAAAAATCATTCAAACACACACTACATTTACACTGGTTGTAGGAAACCATGGAGTTTCTCTGTGTTTAGGTGGAGTTTAGAGGAACTCTTCAGGGGTCTGGTTTTCTCTTTTCACCATGTGAATTCTGGGATTCAACTGCAGTTAGATCAGCAAGCTTGACTGAAAAGCCATTATGCATTGATCCAACCTATCTTAGAAAATAAAATAAGCTTCATGATGAAATGACGGAATACTGCCACTTCCTGTTTTGAAGCAAGGAACAATTGACACGTCCTGAGGCACCTGCCTCAAGCCTATTTCAGCCTTCATCAATTCACTTATGTTGATTCAGAAAGTGTCATTAATTATGATCCATATTAAAGTATCCATTTTACTCGGTAAATTTTACTAGGATGAGCATACATGTCTAAGAAAAATTTTGCCCATGTTGTATGTACATTATTCTCTAAAATATAGCATATCATGTAACATATTGTTATACTGTACTGAGTATTACCAGTATTCTATATGGTTTTAAGGAACATGGAAAATGTCTACATGTTATAGTCCTGTAAGATACAGTGCAATACAAGGGCTTGGTTAGTTGCAGATATTGGTACTCAGGAGTCTGGGAAAACTTCTAAGGAATTACTGAGATAATTGAACATAACAACACAACTCTGCAAGTCATGGTCAAAGAAGTAAAGAAAGTATGGCATCGCTTTCCAAATTCACATTATTCAAAAATTTATCCAAAGTATAATGTGAAAGAACCAATCATAAACTTCAAATTTTAAGTTCAATGTTGAGATAGCAGAGCAATCTGAGAAACAATCATTTTGGGTATCACTGACAGCAATAATATTATCATGTATCAAGTACAAACATTTATGGAAGTACCATACAAAAAAAGAACAAAATTAACATATGTCTCAAATTTAAAGGTAACAGTGGACCAAAGTCAGAATAAGAAAATATATCCTTTTCAATTGGCGTAGTATTGTCACCCCATCACACAGTATACAGTATCAACACCACCTGCCTTCCCCTCCCATTTCATTAGTCCTCTTTATTGACAAAGAAGCCTTTACATTGTTCACATCTTATACACATATGAAATTCTACTTTTACATAAACACCTAGACCTTCAGATGAAAGAAATCACTTAGTACTTGTCTTTTCGAAAACTTATGTTTTCGATGTAACATAAGACATTTAACAAGACAATTACATTCTATTTTCTACAAATGACATAATCCCATGCTTCTTAATAGTTTATACACTTAACTATCTTATTTAGGGTTTCTTGCTGTGACAAAACACTATTACCACAAGCAACTCTTGGAGGAAAGAGTTTATTTCAGCATATAACTCTCTTTTCACACTCAGTTTCTGGGGACATCAGGATAGGAACTAAACAAGGCAAGAATCTGGAGCCAGAAGAGGATACAAAGACCATGAAGGAGTGATGCTTACTGGCTTGCTCACCAAGGTTTGCTCAGCCTGCTTTCTTACAGCACCCAGAGACACTACCATAGGGGTGGCACTGTCTACAGTGAGTCAGGACCTCAACATCAATCATCAATGAAGAAAATGTACCAGACTTGACTACAGGTAAATCTAGTGGACAGTAATATAGTTGATTATGAGAATGCTGTAGAAGTGTAGCATGTATTTCATGTAATTGTGTGTGTTGTGTATGTGTGTAGGTGGATGTCAAATGGAACATGAGAGCTAAAGAAGGGCATGGCATAACATGACCTCTTTCTACTTTCCTTCAGACAGGGTCTCACAGAAGTCAGAGACAGGATGACAGCCAGCAAACACCAGAAATACCCCTGTCTATTCTCCCAACAGTGTACGATTACAAGTATGAACATCACTGTTCAGCTTTTTTTTAATGTATGTGAACATATCCAAGCTCAGATCTACTCCTTTTCTAGCAACTGTTCTTCCCCCACTGAGTCATTAATTAATGAAGTTTTCTTATAAAGCTACTTGAAATGGTGTGTCAATTTTGTTTGCAAATCTCTCAAATGGAAATCACTATATATGGTCTGTAAGTGTGTGAATAATGACAGAATTTAATATTTTACCATAGTTTGTGGAAATCAACTGTAAAATAGATATAGCCTGTAATTTAGACATGTATGTTTTATTTTAACTTTATAATATTTCTAGACCATGCAGTACACATATAAGCCTTGTACAGCTGGTGAAAATCTTTAAGGAAAATCTCAGTACTTTTAAGGAAAATCTCAGTACAACACATATAATTGGAAGGTGAATGTCAAGGACATGTACCTTCATTTTACTTCTTTTACAGAAGGCTACAGCGAGGAATATATCTCAGTGGGGTTTCTGTCCTCCCATGCAAAAGAGGTATTCTATATATTAGGTGATACCTCCAGCTCAGGTACTAGTGGAAACAGAGTGGAGTGGAGGATAAAGTTTGGGACAAGATACTGCCCTAATCTGTGTCATAGCACTTAGGGATTTCGTAAGGGGCCAAAGTGATGACCATATATCAGTCAGTTCTTCGCCTTCTTCCTTACAATCCCTAAGGTTTGGAACAACCTTTTCTGGGCTTGTTGCTCTTCTAATGGGCATAGTCTTGTCCTGTTTATGAGACTTCCTCTGAGTTCAGCTCTTCCTTCTCTCTTCACATATCCATGCCATAGCTAATCATCAGAAGTCCTTTAGCTTTGTCCACCAGATAAGGACTGAACTAGATAAACCACTAAGATTTGAATGTCTTTCTTTCTGTGTATATTGTTCTTATAAATGCTCTACACTCTTTATTTCAATGGTCGTATCTGTCCAGTGAGTTTGGCCAGAAAGAGATGATTAGATGTAATACAAAAAGAAAAGAATTATCTGGACTGATAGTGGGGTCATGCCAGAAAGTTAACCTATATTCTGTGGATAGTGTGTTCTATTATGCAGTATTAGAAACAAGGTAATTGGTAGGAGAGACCTCCAAGACACTCTATATAGCCAGGCACAAAATGCAGAGTCCACATGGTACTTGGGAAATGGGGAAACTTCTGGAGAAGAATATAAGGCAAGAAACTCTAAGTGGGTATATGAAAGTGTGTGAGACTAGAGGTGGGGTGATGGGGCTCTGTAGAACACACTACTCACAAGCAGGAGACCCAGAGTATATAGTGAGAGACACAATGCATTAATCCTACAAATCCTGCCTGTCATGGTGGAGCCAAACATGGCTAAACAATGAGAGGATGCAGAAGCTTGTGGGGAGCAAGGCTTGAGCCTAATGAGGAGACTCCAAGGAAGACATGGAAACTCATTTCTGAGGTTATAAACTTCTTCCCATAAATAAGATAAGACAGGTAAGGCTACAACAAGTGAAAGACACAAATAGTGACAGCATAAAGGACAGACACAGCTCTATGACCAGGTAACTGCCAAGAGAGCTGATATCCACACACCTAGAGTCCTTTAGTCCTAGGAACAAATGCAGTTTACTAGAGCACCCAAAGTCATGCTTGAAATACTGATGGCTGAGCCAAGAATTTATGAAAGGGGGCTAAGCATGTGCTAGAGCTCAGACTACAGCCCACATTATAGGTCGGAGTCTCAAAGATGGATGTCAGATCTCTAATCTCAGACATCCTGTAGGTCAGTCTGAGGTGAGGAATGGTCAAAAGACACTTAAGGTCATGCTCAACCTTCTTAGCGATCAGGGAAATGCAAATCAAAACAACTTTGAGATACCATCTTACACCTGTCAGAATAGCTAAAATCAAAAACACCAATGATAGCCTATGCTGGAGAGGATGTGGAGTAAGGGGAACTCTCATTCATTGTTGGTGGGAATGCAAACTTGTGCAGCCACTGTGGAAATCAGTGTGACGGTTTCTCAGGAAACTGGGAGTCAACCTCCCTCAGGACCCAGCAATTCCACTCTTGGGAATATACCCAAGAGATGCCCAATCATACTACAAAAGCATTTTTTCAACTATGTTCATAGCAGCACTATTTGTAATAGCCAGAACCTGGAAACAACCTAGGTGCCCCTCAATAGAAGAGTGGTTAAAGAAGGTGTGGAACATATACACATTGGAGTTTTACTCAGCGGTAAAAAACAATGACATCTTGAATTTTGCATGCAAATGGATGGAAATAGAAAACGCTTAACCCAGACCCAAAAAGAGGAATATGGTATGTACTCATTCATAAGTGGATCCTAGAGAAGCTAAATAAGAAGGTGAACCCAAAGAAAATCATATAGTTATCCTCCTGGATATTGAAAGTAGACAAGATTGCCAGGCAAAAGTTGGGTGCACGGGGGTGGGGGTGGGAGTGGATGTAAGGGGAGCTGGGAAGAGAGAAGGGAGAAGGGGAGGATTCAGGAGAGCTTGGGGGAATGGGATGTGTGGGATGGAGGAAGGGTGGATATGGGAGCAGGGAAGTAAATATCTTAATTAAGGGAGCCATTTTAGGGTTTGCAAGAGACTTGTCTCTAGAGGGGTTCCCAGGTCCAAGAAGAGGTCCCCAGATTGTTCCTTGGGCAGCAGAGGAGAGGGTGCCTGAACTGGCCTTGTCCCATAGTCACACTGATGAATATCTTGCATATCACCATAGAACCTTCATCTGGCGATGGATGGAGATAGAGACAGAGACCCACAATGGAGCACTGGACTGAGCTCCCAAGGTCCAAATGAGGAGCAGAAGGATGGATAACATAAGCAAGGAAGTCAGGACCACGAGGGGGTGCGTCCACCCACTGAGATGGTGGGACTGATCTAATGGGAGCTCACCAAGGCCAGCTGGACTGGGAGTGGTGGAGCATGTGATCAAACTGGACACTCTGAATGTGGCTGTCAATGAAGGCTGACTGAGAAGCCAAGGACAAGGGCACTGGGTTTTGATTCTACTGCATGGACTGACTTTATGGGGGCCTGGTTTGTTTGGGATGCTCACCTTTATATACCTGGATGGAGGGGGGAGGACCTTGGACTTCCCATGGGGCAGGGAACCCTAACTGCTCTTAGGACTAGAGAGGGAGGAGGAGGTAGGGAGGGGGAGGGAAAAGGGAGGCGGGGAGGAAGTGGAAATTTTTAAAAATAAATCAATAAATTAAAAAATAGATTCTTTCTTCATAAAAAAGAGCTCAAGTCATACACAGAGTGAGCCCTTACTCCCAAGATTGCAGACTCTTTAGCCACTCCTTATGTGGGGCCATGTAAAGTGTGGTTCACAAGGAAGAGAGTACCATGAAGAGCTGCTACAGGACCTGGGAGAAGAAGGGAGAGAACCTGCTTCTCCTGCATCATTGGGATTATACTAGAAGACTTTTACCTACAAGTTCTTTGTGAGGAGAGAAAGCTATTCCCTACCCAATAAATTGTCTCTGATACTGGTTAATTCTCAAGTGAAAACAATACTTCATTAGCTCCATAATGCTGAAACTCAGCTTTCAAACCCATGAGACCCACGTCCTCTGAGCATGCCCTTGGGGTTTATCTTGATTAGATTAAGTTAGATGGGAAGTTCTGTTCCCTGTAGGGACAATCATTCCCTTGGATGGGGTCCTGGACTTTACAAAAGGAAGAAACATCAGCAGAGTACATTAATTGATTTTTCTTTTCTTCTGAGCTCTGGTTGCAAAACCACTCTCCCTCAAGTTTTTGTCTTTATCTATTACATTCCAATTATGGACTCCAAACTCAAACTCCAAGGTAAAGTAAACCTTTCCTTGCTCATTGCCTCTGGAAAGTAATCCTAACAAAACTTCCAAGGAGAACTATAACAATAGTCAAATGTTTGGGCATTGGGAGTGGCAGAGGAAAAATGGTCTATGTGTTCTGGACACCAAATAACAGATACAAAGTACACTTAATCCTGCCACTATTAACCATTCTGTACTTTAAAGAGGAAAAGCACAATAACCTCACACATGTCTGTGTCTCTACTGATCTTTTCCACTCCCTTACCCTCCCAAGCACAAGGTCTAAAACAACCATTCCTAGGGGCCTCTCCCAATAGACCTGACTAGAAAATGCCCTTATCTAAATCAAATTCACCCTCACTTTTGAGACTTTGGACATTAATCATATCACTTATGAGACTTTCCACATCTGCATCATCTATGTCTGGGATAAAGCGACTGAGAATGTGACTCAGTCATTTATGTCTACTCCAGGTGAAGCCATATTCACTCATACAAGATAAGTCTCAGCTTTCCTATGGTTTACCACTACTTAATGAAAGGCAAAGGTGCCCTTTAACTGAATATTTAAATCTTGTGGCTGTATTTCTACTGATGAGCTAGATAAATTAACAGTACCCATATATTAAAACCTATAACAAAATGTCTCCATATATTTACATATAGTACTTAGAATAAAGGGCATCTATTACACACAACTAAACACAATTACTGAATTCCCTCATACCTTCGGTTTTAATTTGTGCTGTTTCTCTGGGACCAGCGGTGACTTGAGGTATGGCCACACCAAGGGGGATCACAGGTCGCTTTCGAGAAATTATCTTTAACAGAGTAGAAACTGGGAATGCATTCACAACAGGGAATGTTATGTCAGCTTTATGGAAGACAGAGGAAACTGATAATATTTGAGTATTTGTACATTTGATCTCATTTATTTCAGGTAAGTCACTGTAGTTAGAATGGTGCTTCAGGAAGATCACTGAGCTCAGTGTCCAATTAATTATGTATCACATGACAATGTTTGAAAAGTCTATTATGGACCACATGATATTGCAGGGAAAGTCTAAATTAATACAGATGTGACAATAGAGGATGAAGAGCAACATGACTGTCGTGGTGTCATGCCTGATAAGCAGCATTCAAATCCCACTGAGAGAATCATGATGCAACAAAATCCACGCAGTCCATCTGTGATCACATCTTGGTACCAGAGTGCTGTAGGGATTCCTACAGCCAGTAGCCTTTAAGTTACCTGCCCACTTGGGCGTGGCCTCTTATACTAGAAATGCCAATGTAAAGTGTGCAATTGGCCTCTCTTCAGGCTGCAGGATTCGGTTGCTGTTCCCCGTTCAAGCAGAGGACTATGACTTGTGAGTCTACCCCTAAATAAATAACCTGTTATTATACTCAATTCTGAACTAGTGTGGGATTTCTTCTTAGCGTCCATCTTTATCAGCAAACTAAACATTTCATAAGGACCCCAGGAGTCTTATCCATGTAAAACATGAATATATAATGTTAAATCATAAGTGAAAGCACATAGCCTGCACAAATCTTCTATGATGTTTGTGAGATGCGAAAACTATTCAACTAGGCAGGAATGATTGAGTCCTGAGCAAGTGCTAAGTTTGCTACAGGACAGTTACCAATGGTTGTTTATTTTTCATTCTTTGTTTTTCCAGGATATTTTACAGCTCATGCAGAACATATGGTATCACTTTAAGTGAGCTTAGAAGGTAAGGAGCTTTTTACCTTGGGCACCATTTTAGTTATATCCATGATGTTCTGAACAAATTCCCTAACAGAAACAATTGAAGAGACAGAAGTTCTGCCTTTGATCCCTGACTCAAATTATGCATTTCCTCCAAAATAAGTTGTAGACAGTCCTAGAATTAGTAAATGCAGCCTTTCTCCAGCATCTTCATCCTGCCAGGTACCTCTCAGCAGGTACCTGGTCATAAAGTACCCACACTGAGAGATGACTTACGCTTGTGTGTCTTCCATGACTACTTAGACTACAAGTAATTCTAAATTAAACTGTCACATGAAGGTTGGGCAAAAAAAGTACCTTAAATTGGTCAACCCTGTATAAACCCTCAATATTAAGTGACATTATGTAACTATTCTCTAGGTGCTAACAGATAAGAAAAAAGCACACAAATAATGAGTGTGTGTCATATCTGTTCACTGTTTCCTCATCAATTTTTTTGATTTTTTTATTTATTAAAAATTTCCACCTCCTTTCCTCCTCCTATTCCCTCCCCTCCCTCTTCCCCCTCCCTCTCCAGTCCTAAGAGCAGTCAGGGTTCCCTGCCCTATGGGAATTCCAAGGTCCTCCCCCCTCCATCCAGGTCTAGAAAGGTGAACATCCAAACAGACTAAGCTCCCACAAAGCCAGTCCATGCAGTAGAATCAAAACCCAGTGCCATTGTCCTTGGCTTCTCAGTCAGCCCTCATTGTCAGCCACATTCAGAGATTTTTAACAGAATACTTAATTCTTTGAGAATTCCATAAAATCTATTTTGTTTATATTCACACCCACTCATCACCCTAAGTCTCTTGTTTCCATTCATATCTCTCCACTCCTTGTCATCTTTGTGTGCTTTTTATCTTCCCTTAAAAACCTACCAAACTGTGCTGATCATACACACACACACACACACACACACACACACACACACACGTATGTGCGTTCATGGGCTCATGGCTAGTCTCTGAAATTTGGTCAACCAAATTCAAAGCAAATTCAAACCAAATTCAAAAGCAAAGTAAGTTTCTAGACACTCTCCTTCCACCAACAGATCTTATAGGGGCCTCTTCTATTTCATTTTATTATTTTTGATTTGTCATCAATTATTTGTTTAGCCTTGGCTGGCCTAACATTCACTATTTATAAAAGGCTGGTCTTGAACTTATGTGTAGAAGGAGCAGCGGGCCGTGTTCCCGCTGGCTGGCTCCCGGCTAGTTTACACCTGAAATAATTATATGGAAACTGTATTCATTTAAACACTGCCTGGCCCATTGTCTTCAGCCCCTTATTAGCTAACTCTCACATATTAATTAATCCGTTTCTAATAATCTGTATATCACCATGAGGTCGTGGTTTACCGGGAAGATTCTAACCCACCTCCATCTCAGAGAGGAGAGTCATGGCGTCTGCCTCATTGCCTTCTTCCCAGCATTCTGTTCTGTCTACCCCGCCTACCTATGTTCTGACCTATCAGCCCAAGCAGTTTTCTTTATTAATTAACCAGTGAAAGCAAGAGATAGATAGAAGACCCACCTACATTATTTCCCCTTTTTCTGTTTAAACAAAAAAGAAAGACTTCACACCCTAAGCAAAATGTGATTGGCTTAAGTTCCCCATCACTTATGACTTTCCTGCACCCACCAATCTAAATCAAAGAATATAAACTGTGCAATACTGGGTACATTATACAGAGTACTTGAAATGAAACTTGAGTTTTTAGAGATGATAGGTATGCACTAAGCCAATCCCCATAATAGCTCTACTTAGCACATCAGGTCACTGGTAAAAGCCTGAGCATGAAACACACCAGTGTGAACAGAATGAAACCCAGTGACACTCTTCCCCACTGACTATGTAAATCCACCAAGAGAAAACATAGAATAAGCAACATGGAGTCTAACTACCCATGACAGAAAGTAACCTTGTTGGTCAGAGTCTAATTCTCCTTTAAAAGTATATTGTTGGTTGCTTGCACAGGACCTGTATAAAATCAAAGAGATCAACACTGTCTTGTAAGGAGGAGAGACTCAGAAGCCCTTATTACCCCTAACTAATAAGCTATTGGCAACTTATGGCTTCTGTGTGAGGGATAGACAGTTTGAATTAAAGGTGTTGTCTCTGGGAGGTCAACCCACTGTCAGTAGGTGCCCCTACATGTTTGAATATATGTCTAGCATAAAATGAACTAGAAAGTTACTTTTAAGGATATAAATTTGGGCAAAAGTAAAAAGGAAGAGAGGATCTGAAAACAGTAAGAGGAATCATGGATGATTATGACCAAATATAGTGCATAAACTTATTAAAATTAATAAAATTATATTAACAATTTAAAAAGAAATAAAGATTAAATGTATTGCTGGAATAATATAATGATCCAACACTTACCATTAAGCAAATGATTACTGTGATTATTAGTAGACAATGTTCTTAAATTTTGTGGTTCTGTATGCCCATGCTAATGTTGTCCAATCTGCTAATGTTTTTCCCAGATCTTCCTGGAATGAGCCGTATCTATGATTAACCCAGTTGGGACATATCCACCCAACTTTCCCCTGCACTGTATTTCACTTTCAGGTTCTGTCATCTGAAAAGAAGTATGTGTTTCTCTATCTTTCAAAACTGTGACTGTCTGCTGCATGCTGAATGGCACTATCTAGGACTTCTAATCACTACAGCAGTTATTGCAGTATTTCGGATCCCTATGGATTTGCCTTATTGCATGCTGATGCAAGAAAGCAGAACTTTCCCAAAGGAATTATTGTGACCTTGATGGGGTAAAAGGTGGCTCCTGAGATGCATAGCTAAGGAGCTTCATCACTAGCTCTCTGGTTTATTCATCTATGAAGGAACACAAGCATGTAACCCAACCCTGCATGACTGTGGTGAAGTTTGAACACATTTTTATAGATAAACTATGTCTTGATTTTTCAATTTGCAACTTGTCACTAAAAATTGGGTTGGATAGTTGGGATATTTTTCTTTGCAAAAAAAAAATTAGACATGACTTGGTGAAAAAATCCTGCAAATAACTAAAGAAATTACAATTGAAAACAACAATCATAGACACGTGGCCTTGATTTGCTACTAGAGATGTCACTTCCTTTAAAAACAAAACAAAAAATATAAAAACCTGTAATTCTCATTATTAGTAAGCAGGTTAGATCACAGTGGTCCATCACACAAAAGACAACCAGTGTTTTCACAATTACCATCCAAAATGTGTCTTAAAGAGTGATTCTACAGTACATACCACATCTGCATTTCTTAGAGATCACCTGTAATTGAAAGGAAAGAAAATAAAATTTAGATCATATTGAGTAATGTCTGTAAAGGTTTTTTTTTTTTGGCCGAAACAGTTTTATTCATAAACCAATAAAAGCAACATATATACAGAAGGACATTTGACATAAACTAAGTTAATGTCTGTAAAGGTCTTTGGTCCTTCAATAGTTGACATAATCAGGGTAGAAAAGAGCAACCATGTGGAGCCTTTATTAATGGTCTCCTTATCTGATGATATAGCAGATCTGGGCCTCTGTCCTTTGTGCTAAAGACTAGTACCTTTTACAATTTTTTCTGATTCAAGGGCAGATTAGGAAAACCTGTTTGGCCTCTACTAAAGGTTCCCTAACTCACATAACATACCATCTTTGAAAACTTGCCTTTTTCACTAAGATATTTTCTATTTCTAGGGCCTATTGTAGAAATAATTTGAGCATATAATCTAAAGTTTAAAGTGTCAGGAGTTTAGTATTTTCAGCAACATGAGAATCTTTAAAATACGATGTACTGGGCTGGAGAGATGACTCAAATGTGAGGAGCACTGGCTGCTCTTCCAGAGGACCTGTATTCAATTCCCAGTACCCATGTGGCAGCTCACACCTGTCTGTACTTCCAGTTCCAGGGCTCCTGATAGCCCCATACTGACATACATGCTCATACTGGCATTTGAATTCTATCACCCACAAGGTGCTTGTGTCCTCCTTGGCACCAAGGTCACAAATAATGCAAATATACACATGCAGGCAAAATGCTCACACATTAAAAAACAACAGCAAAAAGACCATGATGTACCTGACCAGTTTAATGATGCAAATGTTATACCCACTGAAATACAAGGGGACAACTGAGATAATCTTTCTACCTCAGAAAGGAAAGGCACTCTTACCTCCACGGCCCTCACTGGTGGGTTTTGCTGGTCCACTGTTGAAGCTGTACTCTTAGAAGGTGCATAGGATACTAGGGGGACAGAAAGTGACTGTCAGCTCACAAACTACTTAGTATTTAAACTGGACTTTACTTGATGTGAGTAAAATGCATGGGCTTAGTACATGTAACTGAACATAATGAACAAGATAAGATGGTTTGGCTGCTTCTGAACTGTCTGCCCATAAAGCAAACTAAGGCAGAGAGAAGGCTTGGAGAAAAATAAGGATGTACCTTTGTACATGTAGTAAAGGTCTGATCCAGATGACCTTCTGAAATTCAACTGCCTAACCAGGCATATTATCCCTATCCGTTCTTTCCCAGTGATCTTTTGTGAGGGGAGACATTTAGTGATTTATCCTAGTATATCAAGAGCTGAAGGTGGGGATGTGTCTGGTGGTTAGGCCACATCACATGGACAATGTGTTCCAGTATAAAGCATCAATAACAAGTTAACAGGTAGAAGGGACCACTCCGGCATCCATGGCTTGCCAGACCTACAGTTGTGAGTCAACATGGCAATTATGAAAGAGGAGGGTTAGAAGTGGATCTGTGTCTTTGAACACATGACTAAAAAGAAGGAGCCTGACTTCACAGTCAATAGACACTGTACATTAAAACTATAGGCCTAACCTATGATTGGTACAAACCCACTTGCACAAAGAGAGAATCCAGGGGAAGCAGACAAACTTCTGATGAGCCTTAGCCATGACCTACTCAAAAAGCTATAATGAAGACACTTTGAGGGAAAAGATTCCTTAGATTATAACTTAAGGTTCTGGTCAGACGATGCCAAGAGTGAGAGAGTCAAGTACTGATGACACAGAGGAGCCCCCCGAAACCATGTTTTTATCCTGAGGAACATGGACTGTCTTCTAGGAGAACTGTCAAACTCAGGCTCTACATCTTGGAGGATGAATCAAGAATGCTTCAACAGGCACAAAGGATGGGCCAAAATGCATGCACGCCCTTTCTCATCCATTAAATCAAAGGATCCAAGATAACTCAGTTTCTAACGTCCCTTAACTCAATCACCTAGCATACAGTTCAATATAAAGAGCAAAGATTGAAAAGAACCAAAAGAAAGATATTATATCCTTAATTGTCAGGATATTGCCAGTGTTGCAATGAAGTCAGATTAGAGAACCCTGCTAGCTATTTAGGAAACTTAAAATTTATTTTTTTAAATTCTTTTGTTAAATTTCAACTGAGGAACTAAGCAAATTAACATTATCTACATAGGAAACTAATGACAAGACTATCATATTATTTCTTTCACTTACAATATCTATTTAAAAAACCAAATATCATTCAATGAAATTATTGTATTACAACTGTACCTTCTATTTCACTTTTTGATCTTTCTGTAGAAGTACCAGCTTGGGCCTGAAGTCCTTGAGAGTCTTTAGGAACAATAGAGCATTTCCAGTGGAATTTTCTCCAGATTTTGGATGCTAAGAATGTATTAACAACAGAGACAGTTATGAGATTTTCATGGCAGAAAATAGAGGAAAGCAGTTTTTTTTCTATATGCTATCTCATGACCCTTCTCCAGACACTCTCACCAGAGTCATGGTGGTGTTTCAGGAAGATCACTGAATGTACTGCACAATCCAGCATGCATTGCACTGATGGTTGAGTAAGTCATTAACTCATGTTAGTGTGAGAGTTGTGTTTTCCCTGCTGAACATGTGTACCTAATGAATTTTCACATTCAAATCATGGGGACTGATCACTCCTGAGAGGAAAAACTCGTGGAGCATAGAATGCAACCAACTTTTAAAGATGCATTCCCACTGGTTGCACTTCTTTTGTAACAGCACTCTGTAGGCAAAGGCAGGTGCAATTGTGTGAGTTCCAGACCAGTGGTTATATTAGGTATTTCCGGGATATCTATGGACACACAGTAAGTCCTTGTCTCAATAATAAAACAAAACAAAACACTGTATTCTCAAGGAATGAGATAGTGCAGATCATCCTGCAACGGGAGACTGCAATTCTCAGGATACACTATCTCTAAATTGTGGGCCTTCTTTTGCCTATTCTGATGTTTTCTAATCTCTTAATGATATTCTCCAGAACTTACTGGAATGCATAGTGGCTAATACAACCCATTTTGGACTATTCACTCCAATCTCCCATGTACTTATTTAATTTTGATGCTCTGTACTCTGAAAAGAAGCATGCATGCTTATCTAACTTTCAAAGCTGTGACTGTTTGATGACTACTGAGTGATACTACCTAGGATTTTAACTACTATTGCAGATAATGTAGTGTTTGGATTCCTATTGATTTGTCTTATTGCAGGCAGATGCAAGAAGGCAGAACTCTTTCTTTCTTCTAAGGGGATTACTGTTCCCTCGAAGGAATAAGAAGTGACTCTTGAGATACATAGCTAAGGAGCCTCATCATTATCTCTGAGGTATGGTTTATTCATTTATGGAAGAGCACACGAGCATATAACTGACCCTGCATATCTGTGATAAGGCTTGAACACATTTGTATAGGAATGTTATATTCTGAATTTAATTTACATATCTGTTGCTGGAAATTGGGTTGGGAAAATAGCATGCTATTTTCTTGATAAAAAAGGTTTAGACAAAAATTGGAGAACAATGTCTTAAAATAAGAAAGGATTGCTCTTGAATACAAGAACCACAGACATACCCATCATTTCTTACTTGGTGGGGCCCATCTGCCCTGTCCCTCATCCCCCCCCCAAAAAAAAACTAACAAATCTAAAACCATAATTCTTATTAAGTATCTTAGATCATAGTGCTGCATTTCACAAAATACAGCCAGTGTTTATAAAATTCCTATCTAAACTGTGTCTTAGGAGAATGATCTCACAATACATGCCATATCTGCATTCTCTGGACTTCACCTGCAATAAATAGGAAAGAAAAATATTTAACGCCATGATCATGCTGAGTGATATCTACGAAGTCTTTAGTTATGGCACTGACTGACACGGTATAACTGCAATCAGGACAGAGAAAAGTAGTAAAGAATATTAATTATTAAAATATTATTTGACGATGTCACAGAAAATTTCGGACTTTATATTTTGTGACAAAAGCTAGCACCTTTCACCCTTTTCCTGATTCAATAGCAGATCAGGCAAACCTGTCTGGCCTTGAGAGGGTTGGGTTGCAAAACCTTTATCACATGCCATTTATGAAAACTTATATTTTTCACTAAGATGTTTTCTGTTTCTAGAGACTACGGTTGAGAAATAACTTGAGTATAAGAACCAAAGTTTTAGGTGGTAGAAGCCTTAGTGTGTCCAGCTTGAGGATGTTCAGCGTTCAGCCAGTAACATCTTTAAAACATGGGGACTGGTGTAAATTAGAGGCAGACACCTTGATGGGATCGCTCATAAAGCAGCACACAAGTTGTGACACATGTGGTGTAAGCTATCTTAAATCAAGAGCAAATCTAGTCCCTCCTCTAGCTAAATGGACCTCTAATATCCAGGGTGCCTCAGACCAGTTTTGTGTTTTAAATGAGATACCCACTGACATATACGGGCACCACTGAAGTAGCTTTCCACCTTAGAGAAAGGAAACACCCACTTACCTTCACCATCCTGATTGGATGTTTTGGCTGGTACTCTGGTGAAGTTGTACTGTTAGGAGGTTCAGGTGACACTAGGGGACAGAAAGTGACTTTCAGAACTCGTTATGATTTATTTTATCTTTGCTTCATGTAGGTAAAAGTGCATGGACTTGGTACATTTTACTAAACATAATGAACAATATGTCTTAGCTGTTGTCAGAATGTCTTCCAGAAAGGAAAACTGAGGCAGAGAAAAAAATCTTGAGAATTGAGACACAGACTTTTGCATCTTAGGAAATCTAAAGCATTGTAAAAGAATCTGTTACATGGAGTAAAGATGAAATAAATCTCTTAAAAATTTCTTTTTACATTTATTCTGTTTGGGAGGCTCAACAGCTGTCTGCACATCCAGCAGAAGTGAAACTTCTGTACCTTGTTCTCTCAGTCCTTAATGTGGATTCCAGTTTCAAATTCTTGAACTCAGTCTTTATAGCAAGTGCCTTTACTGCTGAGTCATCTCAAACACCCCATAAAACAAATCATATGACAAAAATCACAGAGCTCAGGTAGTCCCTGGGATGATTTTGAATGGAGAGTAATTGCTACTCTCTTGAGGCTCAGCTGGTCACCAGTAGACTATTACCTATGGCCATGTAGTAATGGTCTGATACACACATTTGCTAGAGATTCAACTGCTTTTCTAGGAATTCTTTTCTTTTCGGTTCTCTCCAGTGATCTTTTCAGTCTCATGAGCTATATGAAAGAGAGCCATTTAGAGATTACTGAGAAAACTAGAATACCCAGAACAGAATTTCAGAACATGTCTAGGAGTCAGGTCACACTGCCTGGACAATGTGTTCCAGTACAAAGAATCACCAAGAAGGTAACTGGAAGAAAGGACAACATGGGCTTCCCTGGTTTCACAGAGCTACAGTCCTGAATCTACATGGCAATTATGAAAGAGAAGTGGCTGGAGAAGGATAGGGGCAAGAGGTAAAAAGAAGGGAGACTAAAGGGTGAGGGCTACAAGTGGAATCCTGTGTCTCTGTCATACAAAGTTCAGAAGCAGATAGACACTGTGCACTGAACCTACAGATATATTCTATGATATGGAGCCTATGCCACCTGAAGAGTAAGAGAATCCGAGAGAAGCAGATAAACTTCTGACAGTCCTAGGATGTGAGCCCACTGATAAAGCAACAGTGAAGCCCCTTAAAGGAGAGAGGCTCCTTAGATTAAAACCTCACGTCCCCAGGGAAGACAAGAGGGTGGGACACAAATACTGACAACAAAAGGGATAGCACATACTATGGATGCCAGGAGAATTAATCCCCTCATGTCTGGATACCAGCCCCCCACAAGATACCTGACATAGCTGGCATTCAACATGATGCATGAACCCATTATACTGATATTAAGAGTCTCACACTCTACGGACTGAGCTAGCCAGACTGTGGTAGTGAGAGTACTGATTCCGAACCACCGGACCACACAGGATAGACTGGTGAGCCAGCCAGGCACACCCTTATGGCATGATTTCCTTCCAAGTTTCTCCTCTGTCTTTATTCTACTCTGTTTACTAGAAAAATGTCAGCAATGAACCAAGTTCATCCCCCATGGTTTCATTTCATTGATCCTTTTGGAGTTTTATATTTTCATTCTTAGTGCTGGAGTATCTGAGAATCAAATTAGATCTTGATATAGAAACCTTAAAATGTGCTTCCTAATATTTTCTACATTATTCCTGTTCCTTTCCTTTTGGGCTGTCAGCTCACAGATAATGAAATAGAGACTTCTTATTAATTATGAAAGCTCAGCCTATACCTTAGGCTTATTACTAACTATCTCTTTTAACTTAAATTAATCCATTTATTTGAATAAATGTTATATCACATGGCATTACCTATATTCCATCTTGCATCTCTTGTTTTCTCTCCACCTCTATCTGGCAACCTTGATTTCTCTTTTTTTCAGCGTTCTCTCTGTACCTGGAATTCCCACACAATTTCTCCCTGCCTAGCTATTTCACATTCAACTTTTTATTAAACCAATCACAGCGACACAGCTTCATACAGTGTTCAAATACCACACAATATCAAAAGCCTAAAATGACCACAACATTTTATGGGTACTGAGACAGTTAATATCGATAGTTGAGTTGATAAGATCCAGATCCTGAAGCATGACTATATATAAGACATTATCTTGACAAGGCTAACTAAGAAAGCAAACTGTTCTACTGTTAGTGGTATAGTTTCTTGGGCTGTGATCCATGACTGCATAAGGAGAGGTGAGCTGAGCATAAGCACGCCCTATTTATTCTTTCTGTATTGCAATATGCCTCAGGCTCCTGTATCTATGGTTTCTCAGCAAATATGTGCATCACACTCACGAAATTATGGCAATGCAAACACTCCTCCTTTGGTGTGTCTGACCATAGTATTCCATCACACACACTGGGAAAGTATCTTAGGCACAATTCCCATGGAGTGCTACTAAGCACAATCATGGCCTTGGACATTTGGTAGGGACAAATGCTGAAAAGTGTTCA